CCAACCTCAAACACTCAAACCCACCCCCCCCCCCCCCCCCAGCCGCAGCCGTCTTACCAGCAGTATGCCAATCAGCCACCCAGCCATGACTACAGCCAGCCAGCTTACCCAGGTTGGCGTGGCCCGTATTATAACACACCGCCACAGCAGCCGGGTACCGGACACCCCCCGCCGCCGCCTTACAATGTTCCTCAGAATTATCCACAGGGCGGTTATTACCGTCCCCAGTAGAGCATCAGTCTCAACGCTTGCATATATCTAAACATCATTTATTGTAGTCCTCTTGTGATGATTTATCTTTTGTTGTCCAAATGATGTGAGATATTTGTAAATAAATTTGTCATAGTTTGCTTCTTTCATGTCATGGATTGTTATTTAAAACTTTATACAAGGAGACGTTATTTGTTTTGTAAATATGGATATTTATGCTTTTTTGTTTGATCTTTTCTATTGAACTTTTCAGGCACATTGTCATAGCTTGTGAAGGCTTTTGGCCCTGGATTCCAGTGGAATCCTTTTTCTTAGGGGGCATTTACATTCATACCACCCAATTCCTATATATTTAGGTATCCAACAACTTTACTTTCACATTTATACCCCCCAAATCATTCAATATCACATCCAAATTCCTGAAATACACCTTTTCTTGAAACTTGATGTTTATATGTTAGATACGTAAATACATGTGAATCGAGCGGTATGTATGTAAATATTCCTTTTTTTTAATTATTTGAGTGGGATGATGAGATCTTCAGTTTATCAGTTTCAAATCTGATGAAATATGTAGTTTGCATTAAGCCCAATTATGTTATTAGTTTGGTTCTTGCTAGAAAATTTGGATTCTATACACTTATCCTTTATCTGAGTGATTATAGCAGAACATTTGGACAGTTTGATAGCCTTCAGATTTGAATTAATGTAATGTCAGTTCTAATTGATTAAATGCATATCTTCATCTATTTTATTTATCTGCTAATTCAAAGTTTGTTACCTTAGAAGCTCATAAGTGGTGGAGAGATAACAAGTAAATGGAGCTGTATAGCATTTGTGTGCCACCATCACCATGTCAGTCTGGTGAGGATGAGGTAAGCAAAGCATCAATTCCTGTTGTTACTTCCACTCTGCAATTTACTATTCAAATATCTGTTTTTCTAAGAAAATAACTGCACTTTTACATATATATCAGCCAGTGTAGGAATTTGCAGATGCATACCACTCAATTCTTATATTTACATATTTGACAAATTTTAGGCGCTAGATATGTAAGTATATATGAATAGGGTTGTGTGTATGCATATGCGTCTGAAATATAATGAGACAATAAAATGATTCTATAGTAGTTGATTGTTGTGGGGTTATCACGCATTGGCTTTTTATGCACTAGCTTTCCATCTAATGATTTTTTATAAATAGATTCACATGGAATACTAATTTATAGTATTGCAATTCATGATGATATGAAAACTGTTTTGTGGTTAAATTGTTTCCTAAGATTGTTGAAGATATTTCATCACCTTTTTAATGCATGGATATGGATATAGAGCATGGATTGTTGAAATGTTTTATTAGTTTATTAAACCAAGATTTTATTTATCGAAATGCAGTGGCCATCATTTCAAATTTTGGATGTGGAACATGATGTAAATGAGCACTTGCTTAATACTTTTAAATTTGGTGGATATTGGACCAAAGTCAAAAACCAAGAGAGGAAGAAAACATAGGACTATGAAGATTCAAGAAATTACGTTGAGTCCTCATTCATTAGAAAAAGGGATTAAAATGATTTTCGGTTGGATAAGCGGGCATCAATTCAAATTATATTATCATATTATTGGAGTTACACTAAAGGATTTCAACTTACTTGCAAGTGATGATGATGCTCTTGCAATGAGTGTAAGTTTGGAGGGGAGAGTAGTGTTGAGATTGTGATTGTGACTTTAGAGAGTGTAGGAGTGAATATGCATTCACGAGGTGTTGTTCCAAGCGATGACAATAGGACATTCTCTGTAGTTTCAGCTTTTGACATATAAAATGAACACATTATTCGGGTCAACTCCAACCAGAATTTTTCTAGTTGATTTCAGGTCGAGGTGGTGTGTTTGACCATTTTGACACCTGTAATTTTCATGCACGGGTCAGACTAGAAGTCGAGCATAGGGCTGATAAAAATTGACGTGACATACCAGCTCGACCTAAAAAATTCAGTTAGGAATACTAACTCAATTAATTTTATGGTTGAGTTAAGGTTGGCCCGCCAAGCCAAAATTAACGGGAGTTTGACTTTAAATTAATATACATTTTACCTTAATACTTGTTTTGCCTTCTGTTAAATAGGGTTATATAGGTCTGATTGGGACCAGCGGGTTGCAGGCAGGTTGAGTTCATGTTGAACTTTATGACTCGATTAATTGATGCGAAAGATTCAAGCTAAACCCAAGTCAGACCCACGAATACAATTTGACACTCAAAATAAATAAAAAAAATAAAATTCATCGAAGTGTTGTTTCACAAAAATAGACTACACAAGTGCATCTAAACCGTCAAGATGATTGAGACTTATCCCGTTATATATATATATATATATATATATAAACTAATCTGGACTTAAAATTACTTTTGGGAATCACCCAGAATTCAGGAATAGATAAATACATTTTTTTTATTCTCTTAGCCCCATCATCTTCATAGAGGTGTCAAATCAGATTCATGTGTCGGGGTCGGTTTAACCTAAAATTGCTTGATCCAAAAATAACCAGAAATTTTAAATGGACAAAAAGTCCAAATCAAGCTCGGCTGACATAAACCTGACCCACATAACTTGTTTAACAAAAACCTTAATATTTATTCAGGTCATTTTTTTGGTTGTCGGGTTGATTTTAAGTCAATTTCGAGTTTGGTTTGCAATTCAAACATTATTTAAAAATTAAATGAGTTGGGATTCCTAACGCAAACCTTACAAGAAAATTCAGGTCTGCTCCAACTTGAATTTTTCAAGTCGAGCTCAGATTGAGGTGGTTTGTTGGGTCAATTTTTGACATGACTTTCATGCACAGGTCATATCAGAAGTTAGGCCCAATTATGATAAAAATTGACCTGACTTAAAAATTTTGAGTCTGGTTAGGAATCCCAACTCATTTAATATTTTTGGTTGAGTTAAGGCTCACCTGCCAAGCTAGAATTGACATGGATTTGACACTAAATTGTTATAAATTTGACCCTAATAGTTGCTATGCCTTATTTTAAGAAAGATTATGTGAGTCTAGTTCGGATCAGTGAGTTGCAGACAGGTTGAGTTCATGTTGGACTTTATGACTCGATTAATAGATCAATCAGCTTCAAGTTAAACCTAAGCCCAACCCACTAACTCAATTTTACACATATAGTGATGTATTTGAAAACTGGTTGGATCAAACTGAGCAAATGTAAAATATATCATAAATAAGGTACCAAGTGAGTTTACGATTTACTAAAAATATTACTATGTTCATAAAATTTTAAATTTAACATTAAGTTTTATAAAACTTTTCCATTCCAAATATAATATAATCAATTTGCATACAATTAAACCACCCCAAAAATGGTGACAGTTTTATAAAACTTTTCCATTCCAAATATAATATACTCAATTTACATACAATTAAACCACCCCAAAAATGGTGTGTGGTACACACACATATGTATGTATGTATGTATGTCTGCATATCCAAAAATAAATTAAGCAACGAGAAAACCTAAATATTAAATGGGCTTCATGGACTTAATGAATTGAGTCTACCAACTGAATATTCAGTCGTCTGACGCCGACCCGATCAATAGTGCTTGAACCTTTGAAAGTAACAAACTTCGGAGCTCCTTGCCGCTCAGAGGATTCTACGCGAATTACGTCAACATTCGTATGAATTCCTTAGAACGAGTCTATGCAGCTATAATTTGAATGCAAGTTCTTTTAGCCAAACTCTCCTACACTGCCCTAGTTCTTATTCCAAAGTTGCAGAAGCTGGTTGAACTTTTCCACCAAACTCATTGTTAATTACCTAGCTGCACCAACGAGCTCGACGTGCGGCTCTTCAAGACAGAAGGATGAGAACTTCAGCCTGTTGGCATACATATTATCATTTATTAACAACAAAATAATCCATGCCAACAGTCTTATCTAAGACCCCTATGGAAGTACATGGACTTTTTAATATATATAAAGAAAGCTTTCTCATTATCTCACTCTCTCAAAATTCCCCATTTTTTTATACAAGAAATATCCGGTGGAAGAAAACTCCAATCCTCCCCTTCTCCACGAAACCGCGCACCATCGTCCTCTAATTCAACGCACTTTCCCCATCTCTTCTCTGCCGGCGATGGCGCCGCCGCCGCCGCCGTCCGTTCCCGCCGCCCAACAAGTGCTACAATTCCTCAGCACCGTTCTCTCTCAGCGTGGCCCTACCTCCCTCCCTTACGCCGAGGAGACCAAGTGGCTCATCCGCCAACACCTCGTCTCCCTCGTCGAAACCTACCAGTCGCTCCGCCCAAAAGTCTCATCATTCACCCACAACGATGGCCGAACCCTCAATCTCCTCCAGGCCGACGGCACCATCCCCATCGTCTACGATGGCGTCGTCTACAACATTCCCGCCTCCATCTGGCTCGTCGAACGCTAAACTCTCATTCCTCCTTCCGTCTTCCTCAACCCCACTCGCGATATGGTCATCAAGCTCAATCACCCATATGTCGACCGCTCAGGCTTCGTTCATGCACCGTATCTCAAGAACTGGATCTATCCTTCCTCCAATCTCGTCGACCTCGTCCGCTTCTTATCTCAGATCTTCAGCAATGATCCACCTCTATACTCCCGCCAACACCCCAGACCTAACCCTAACCCTAATACTATCCCCTCTCCCTCATCCTCGGCGAATCACTCGATCTCCAGCTACACTCCTCGGCCGCCAGCTCTGCCCGCTGAGGATCCATCCGAGGTGTTCCGCCGCAACGCCATGAAGAAAATCGTGGACACCGTTCATGCTGACAGCGCCGCGCTTCGGAAGATTCAAGAGGGGGAAACGGACGGACTCCTTGCCACCCAAGCTACGCTCCGGCGGCGGGAGGAGGAACTCGCGCGCGGGCTTCGCGACTTGGTTGGCGAGAAAGAAGGACTGGAGCAGATGCTTCAGTTAGTCCTTATGAACACTGACGTCCTCGAAGCATGGATGAGGGAGAATCAATGGAAGTGGAATGGTGATGTTGATGCAGAAGACGCATTTGAGCCCGTTGATGCTCTTTCTAAGCAGATGCTGGAGTGCACGGCGGAAGACCTTGCGGTAGAGGACACCGTGTACTCTTTGGATAAGGCGTTTCAGGGCGGCTCAATTCCATTCGACATGTATTTGAAGAATGTGAGGGCGTTGTCGAGGGAGCAGTTCTTCCATCGTGCTCTGGCGACGAAGGTGAGAGCTGCGCAGGTGCAGGTGCAGGTCGCAAACATGGCGGGTAGAGCTTCACTGTATACTTCGTAAGGAGGAAGGAGGTCAGTTTAAATCTTCCAGTTTGTATTCATAAATTAACATTCTTGTTAGTTGTTATATATATATATATATATATACATATATGAATTGTGGTCATTAGGTTTGTTGGATTGGCTATTTGAATGAAGTAATAATTCAGTGATGAATAAACTTTGTATGTGGTATAAGTTGTGAAATTGTAGTTGGATTGGCACTGAAAGGAGAATGAATCAAGTTTCTATTGAGGATTTCTGGTTGTGACCACTCCATGCAATTAATTGAAGGGAAATTTACATGCATACCACACAATTCTAATGTATTTACATATGTGTTGAATTCTAAGTTGTGTTTTGTGAAAACATAACTCGAGAGTTAGAGCTGGGAAAAGGAGGATGATAGAGATAAAGTAATTAAGGATGTTCTTGTAGAGAAACGGGGAGTGGTCCCTTTATTTGTCATTTTTGCCTCTTATTTTATAGAGGCACATTTGTACAAATACAGAAAGGAGAGAATATAGAAATCCTCTTTAATACAATGAATATGCTAATTTATAGTGCTGATTTATTACCAAATCTGTTTTACAATTAGAGTTTGAATATGTCGGTAACCAGCCAGTCGAGTTGTTTGGGTTCAGTCGACTGAGACGACCGGTTGAATGACGATTGCGCTTGCCGAAGTAGAAGTTGGTCGGTCGACTAATTGCGATTGAGCTTCTTTGTAAGTAGCTTGGGCGGTCAGAGCTACAGGCGTGATCCATCGATAGAGTCTTTCACCATAGCATGTTGGTTGACTCCGACCGAGCGATCGGTTGTTGAATGATCTACTCGGTTCATGTTCCTTCAATCTGATACTTCAATTTTTTGGCTGCTATCCTGAACTGTTCGATTGCTTTGTGATTTGTGTCATTGGTTTTCGTGTATACAATATGCAACACCCAAAGTTTGATATTTGCACTTATAACACCTGGTTTTCATAAACATATGCATGAAAAAAATAGTGACGGTGGTATTTTTGCTATGAAGTTAAACATTTGCGTGATATGAATATAAATATGAATGTTTAGGTGTTGGGTTTGTAAAGGCATGAGCATTGTGTGGTATGTATGTAAATGCTCCTAAATTGAAGGGCATTTACATACATGCCGCCCAATTTCTATATATTTACATCTCTAACAACTGAACTTTACTTTTTTACATTTATACAACCCAAATCTTTTATATCATAAAAAATCATCATTTTAATTTTTAAAAAGTGAAATACACATTTTCATGCATACATAGGGTGGCATACAACAACAACAACGCGCCTTTATACCACTAAGTGCGGCCGGCCAAGTGCGGCTGGCCACATGAATCCTTTTTTCTCCATTGTGTCCTATTGAGTGACATGTATGTAAAAAATATAAGTTTAGGTGTTAGATATGTAAATACATAATAATTGAGTGATATGTATGTAAATCTTTCTAAATTGAAATGTGCATGTACATAATTAAATTTACTATAGATATTGACTATGGGTGTTTGATTGTTCTAAGAATTTTTATGATTTCTTAAAATTGGATGAATTTTGTGTTAGTTTTACATGCTTTACCTACTCATGTCTTTTGGTGGACATAAACTCATCAGTGCAGCCTGGAGGACATACAAGTGTCTTATTTTTTTTGGGATAATTACGTACATAACACCCAAAACATTGCTATTTACAAAATCTAGAAGCAAGGTGATACTTTTGAACTACCAAATTGATATATTTACACATGCGATAAAATCATTGATAATTTGATAAAAATGAAAAATATGAGTTGGGGTTTCATCATGAATTTTGATATTCCAGTGAGAATTTGAAAAAAAGGATGAAAGAACGTGCTAGATTTGTAAATAGCATTATAAACAGCCCTTCTTTTGGAGTGATGTTATTGATATATATATACATATATATAATTTCCTTAAGCTTTTAGAGAATATACTTATCATCACCATCATCATAATTTACATTGCATCAATGTGGTTTTATAACTAATCTGTAAGGTCTAAAGCAACTATTTCAAGCTTCTTATTCTTCTCTTCTCGATGCAGTAAATTTTGGAGTGATTCTGATTTCTATTTTGGTTCATTTATATACATATGTACCACCCAATTCCCATATATTTACATACCTAACCCCTAAACTCTACTTTTTAGATTTACAACATCCAAATATTTCACAACACATAAAAAAATTCTACTATTTTGACTTCTAAAAATTGAGACACATCTTCGCATGCATCAGTGAGGTGGCTTATATGTAAAAATTGAAGTTTAGGTGTTACATATGTAAATACATAGGAATGGAGTGGTATGTATGTTAATCTTTCTTTTATTTTATTGAAATGTTGTCCCTTAAAGCAGCTTTATATTGTGGTTTTGTTTAGTGCCAACTAGTATGGATATAAATAGCATCATGGTGTTGAGAAGCTTGTTCTAAGCTAATTTTGAATTGGTTTCATGTATTGGATGTGAAGCAGGTAATTTTTTTTGTTTTATATTTCATTTTGATTAAAAAAAAAAGTTTGCGATTTGGACTTTTGAGCATTCTTCTTTTTGAAATTACAGTTTTCACCTTGATTTTGTAGAGCTGTTTGGTGGTAGTTTGAGACTAATTTGTATATTGAAATTTGGAAGACTTACATACATACCCCTCAATTCCTATTTATTTACATATCCTAACACCTAACTTGATATTTTTACATATATGCCACCTTATTTATGCATAAGAAGGTTTACTTTACTTTTTAGAAGTTAAAACAGTGGTATTTGTTGTGTGATATGGAAGATTTCGGTGGTATAAATGTGAAAAAGAAAGTCAGGCTGTTAGAAATGTAAATACATAGGAATTGGGTGGTGTGTATATGTAAATGCACCTTGATATTTTCCTTATTGTTGCGAGGTCGGTTACTTATTTTGTCGATTCCTCTTGTATACCAATTCAATTGGTGAGGAAATTTACATCACCTTAGATGATAGGCATACGGGATGATTGTTGTTAGGCAAAATTATATTAGGGGCATTTACGTACTTACCACCCAATTCTTATTTATTTACATTCTTATCATCCAATCTTTTATATCACACATTTAATCTTTTAAAAACCGAAGTACAACTTTTCATGCATAGGTAAGGTGGTATACTACAACAACAACAACAAGTCTTTATCTCACTAAGTGGGTCACCTACATGAATCCTTTTTCTTCAATGCGTTCTATCAAGTGTCATATTTTCATTTAATTGTAAGAGATTAAGATTTTTTTTATACAATATGTCCAATTTTTTTTGGATCTATCTCTGCCTTTCTTAACATAAGTGAAATCTAAAACATCTACTCTCCTAACAGGATCATCAGATGGTCGATGTTTAATGTGACCAAAATGTCTCATGGCATGAATCCTTTAAATCCTAGGTAAGCTGGTATGTACGTAATGTAAAAAAAATTAAAGTTTGGGGGTTAGATATGCAAATACATAGGAATTGAGTAGTATCTTTGAATATCATGTAAATCTTTCATGATATTCTGCAAGGCAAAAATTAATAGTTTTTTCTAATGATTTTTTTTTAACAAACGCATGCTTTACAATAGTTTGTTGAATAATTAATTAGTCTGGCTTTGTTATGTGCATCTGATGTGGTGCAATTATGGTCTCTTGTCCCCATTTGATTTGAATGTGGAGGGAATGAGAATTTTTAGATGAATTGTTGTAAAATCAGAAATTATTGCTTAGAATTTTTTTTTTCATTGAGATGATAGTTGGAGTAACACCTTTTGAAATTAGATACTGAAAATAGACATTAGAGGAGAAGATGCACCAAATCAAGCAGATGGGTAAAATTAATGTTGAAAGATCAATAACAACATCGCCAACTACAAATGCAAGCTTTTATCGCACTAAGTGAGGTCGACTGCATGAATCTTTTTGTGTCTTTTTGAGTGTCATATTTTTATTTAATTCTAATAAATTAAGGTCGTTTTTTATACAAGATGCCTAAGTCATTTTATGTCTATCTCTACCTTTTTTAGCATAAGTCGAATCTAGAACATCTACTCTTCCAATTGGATCATCAAATGGTCGACGTTTAATGTGATCAAAACATCTAAGGCGACTCTCTCTAATCTTGTTTGCCACTAGAGCTATGCCAACCCTTTTACTGATATATTTGTATTGTATTTTGTCTCTAAGTGTAAAGTCACTCAACAACTCTTAACCTAGTTTTGTGCTTCTTTTTTATAGACCAACATTCTGCGTCATAAAATAAAGCAGGTTTCACTGTCAACTTATAAAATTTTCCTTCAAGTCTAAGCAGTATTTTTCTATAACAAAATAGGTTTGTGCATTCCTCTTCTTTAGCTATCCAACTTGAATTCTACTCATAACATCCTCTTCTATATCACCATCACTTTGAACAATAGATCCGATATATGTAAAATGTTCACTCATTAATGATATAATTAAAATCTTAGGTAGGACTTAAATGACCTTCGATTCTGAGCTCGAACCGAACCCTTTGTGATTCTTCACTTTGACCAACCAATATACTCCAATTGATAGAATGAATGTAGTTGAAATAAGATTCATTGAAGCTGGTACATGATGCATTTGGCAGATGACTTGTCCTTCATGGAGAACTGTGTTGAGCTCAATTTTGAGTCCTAATAAATGGGTGCATTTACATCACAAAAATTTCTTATGTATTTACATATCTCACCGCTAAACTTTCATATTTACAAACATAGCAGTCCATTCTTCAATATCACAAAAAAATAAAATATTATTCTCTTTTTAAATACATAAGAATTGTGAGTTACGAATGTAAATTTTCCAAATAAATATTTTTTGTCAATGAGATTAGGACATATAAGAGCTATTAGATATTTAAAATGGGCAAGATAGAGTATGCATAGGAACATGTGTTGTATATCACTTGAAAATATATGAAGGGTCACAAAGCTAAAATGATATGTTGCTAACATAAGCTCTCTCAGAGACTTTAAAAGCAAATTTGGGGTTGAGGAGAGGAAAGTTAGCATTGGGACCACCTTCGATCTTCTTTTGAAGGATGAAGGAGAATGATACATGGTGGGTGGGCATGGTTGTGGTTTAGAGCTGAGAAGGGTTTAATGGAGGAAGATATATCACATATAAAGGTCAGCTCTCCTTTAAATTGGAGAAATTGAAGTATTGAGTATGAAACATGTGCTCGGCTTTTGTGAATGTGGTTGAGAATATTAGAGATGCAGTTGAGATGGCAACAATGGTAAGTGACGGTGGATAAGTTACGGTGCTTGGACGATGGCGAATGAGCTGTACGATAGTTGGTCTATGATATTAGGATGATGACCGTTAAGTAATGATGGTTTGGCTATGTTGCCAGGTGTTAGACAAGGCTATAGAGTTCTTCCTATCTCTCTGAATTTTGGTTAAGGTTCATTTTATATGGAGATTGAGAGTTTATTTATAATTTTTTGTTAGCAATATTTTTTTTAGTTTCAACCAAAAATCCCAAAAACTTTATCGAATTGTTCAATCATAGATTATTTTTTTAGCATTTAAGCATCTTATTGACTTTAATACAACAACAAGAAGAAGAAACATTTATCCAACTAAGTGGGGTCGGAAACATGGATCAATTTTCTCCATTGCGTCTTATGGAGTGTCATATTTTCATTTAATCCTAATAAATTAAGATCATTTTTTTTTCTACGGCATCCTTAAGTTTTTTCTGGTTTACCTCTACCTTTCTTAACATAAGTTGAATCTAAAACATATACTCGCTTAACCGGATTATCAGATGATCTACATTTAAAGTAACCAATCTAAGATGACTCTCTCTAATCTTGTCAGGCCACTCATCCACGTAAGCATTCTCATATCAGCAGCACTTAACTTCGTTTTATGCTTCTCTTTTAAAGGCCAACATTCAGCGCCAAAGAGCATTGCAGATCTCACCACCGCCTTATAAAATTTTCCTTTCAGTCTTAGCAGTACTTTTCTATCACACAAAAGGCCCGAAGCATTCCTCCACTTCAACCAACCAACTTGAATTCTACTATTAACATCTCCATCTATATCAC